TTTTTTTTCAACTTTCCACCATATTTTTCTGATGAAAAGATCAGTTTTTTCGCAAAAGCCTTTATTGGCTTCCTTTATATATTTCTGCGGAATAGTTTTCTATATACGTAAGAGCAGGTGAGGAGGTATCCATTTTAAACGATCTTTGTCGAATCCACCATTCTGTTTTTATAAGCTCAGGTTGTGAGAAGCAAATCGACATTGGTTTGTTTCAGAACATCTCCAAGTATTTTGGACTTACCAAGAATACGGAATTTCCCAACTATGAGGTGGCGTTTTCTTTACATTCGGATCTCGTTACGAAAATGGCAGAGAAAGATTTTGAAGCGTTTCGTTCGGCTTTGACAAGTCATCGATGTAAAACTTTCCTCAAAAAGGTTTGTTTTCCAGCAAACTATAGGTTAAACAACTTTTTTCTTACCATGTCATTGCATTGTGTGTCTGATTTTATTGCTTTTTTTCGTTTACCCATATGTTATTCTCTATTCTTTGTATTCGTTATTGTTTAGATTCACAAAATGGGATTTGTACCAGGCTATCATGAAAGCGATGTCATTTCTCCTAGCAGGGCATGCACAAAGCAAAAAGAGGAGGTTATTCCCAGAAAGAGGTCTAATATTGAGAAAGAAAGGCGTTTTCCTGTCGTTTACGGCGATGATGAGGTTAATCGTATTTCATTGTATATGCAATATCTTTTTAACAAGAAGTCTTCAGATATTTAGCGATGTTAACTATGATATCTGTGATACCTACGCAGCGTCAATGAGTGTTGTTTTAGATAGGTATAACGCCCTAGTTCTTTTCTTGCTCTCATCTCTCTTTTTTCTTTAACTTGTTTTCAGATCTGAAAAGGTGGCCAAGGAAGTTGAGTCGAGCGCTAATGGTTTTGATGAAGCCCAGGAAGTAGATCAGATTGCTGATGGACCTCCTGAAAGCAATGGCACTTTGAACATTGTCTCATTTGCATTTAACCCGGACAAAGAGGCTTACCTTATCGCAAAAAACGCATTCGAATATTATAAAGATGATGAGGTAAACTATTCTGTACTGGAATTTGGTGCAATGTATCATTTATCGTTAATTTATCTCCACGATGACAATGCTAGTATTTTTAACACTATTATTCAGTTATAACTTAGTATGTAGTAGATATATGACGTGGATGTTTGTCAATTATTTCAGGAAATTATTAAATATTGGTATCAGCGCTACCGGCTTTTTTCCAAGCTTGATAAAGGTGTTCTCATGGATCGAGGTAAATCAGCTGTAATATTCACTCAAAATTGCAGAAGTCGTTTTTATCTATAGATTATTTCAGAGGGGTGGTTCTCGGTGACGCCTGAACGAATAGCAGAACATATCGCAGATCGAATAGTTAGACGGAAAGAAATGCTGGTTGTAGATGCATTCGCCGGTGTTGGTGGGAACAGCATCCAGTTGGCGATTAAAGGAGCACAAGTTAAGAGTTCGATGAATTTTATATAGAATTTATGTCGACATTTTTATTTATTTTAAGTAATATGAAAAAATATGAGGAACATAGTGCAAAAATAAATTATATGAAGTACATTTTAGTGATCGCGATTGATTTGGATCCGATACGGTTGAAATGCGCCAGGGAGAATGCAAAGGTGTGGTTTTTAGTAGTTGGCTTTGTTACACTTGTTTTTACTGAACTTTGCACTCTTCATCTTACTATGTTCTAAGGTCGCAAAATCTCCAAGCTAGAAACTTTCTGTTCAGGTGTATGGTGTCGAAAATCGCATTGAGTTTATCTGTTGCGATTTCTTTCATTTTGCAGCTAAATGGACAGAAAACATTGGAAAATCTGCGGATGTAATTTTTTATCTTTCTCTTTCTTTTTTGTACTCCGAGATTTAATCTCCACTATAATAACTAACAACCTATTTTGCGACTGCTCATAAAGACAAATCAACTTGCTTATCTAGGTGGATGCAGTATTCCTCAGCCCGCCTTGGGGAGGCCCCAGCTATTTGAAGTCGGAGGTGAGCATTAAAAATCCGCAAAATCGTATTTATTTTTTGATGAAAGACATATCGGAGCTGGTATCCTTTGCAAATTTTTTAATTTTTACATCTAAGTTAAAATTAATTAATTTGGTCTTTAAAATGGTCATACACTTTCG